AATAATTGCTTTTTTTTACTGAATAAACTCATTATTGAATTGAATCGAATAATGTAAACTCTTTTATTATTCAGAGAAAACCAGTAAAATCAAAAATAATCAAAATAAAATATGTCAATAAAATGTTAAAATTAGTTAAATATAATTAAAATGATAAAATAATATGAATAGTCATCAATAATAATAATAATAATAATAATAGTAATAATAATGATAATAATAATAATGATAATGATAATAATGATAATAATAGCTTTTTTGCTGAATAAACTCATTATCGAATTGAATCGAATAATAATAATAGTAATAGTAGTAGTAGTAATAATAATAATAATAACAATAATAGCTTTTTTGCTGAACAAATTCATAATTGAATTGAAATGAATAATAGTAATAATAAAAATATCTATGGTAATATTAATGGTAATAATGATAGTACAAAATCGTCGTTACTTTCAGTTTCGTTATCTGAAACGGCTGCTATTGGTGCATGGGAATTGGGATTATAACAGGATAACGAAACTGATACTCTACTGCTTCTATAAGAACATCTGCTTCTATTTCTGCGAGGTAGTTAGTTAGTTAGTTAAGTTGCCTGCCTGCCTTTATAAATGCGCCATTGTTGTCTTCTGTTGTGTTGTTGTGTAGCGTTGTGGCATTGTGAGCTGTTGTGTGTCATCACCATCTTTCTCATCTTCCTCGTCTTCCTCCTCCTCATTATCATCTTCACCATCATCGTCGTCACCATCATTATCATCGCCATCTTCATCATCACCATGACTTCAGTTTTGGTACGCGTTAGTGAGCGCTTTCTCCGGGCAAGTAATATTCGAAAGGTGGACAATTGGACTGTTCAATGTGGTCAGTTGGTTGGTCGGTTGGTTGGTTGGTTGGTCGGTTGATTGGTTGATTGATTGATCGATTGATTGATTAATTGATTTATTGATTGATCGTTTGATATGTGATTGATTCATTTAATCTATCTATCTATCCATCCGAACCTAATTATTCATTCATTCATCCATCTAAGCATTAATTCATGCCTCAATCCATGAACTCATCTATCCATCTATTCATTTATTCATTCATTCTCCATTCATTCATTCATTCAGTCATCCATTCATTCTCCATTCATTCATTCATTCATTCATTCAGTTATTTACAGCCGCACCGCCACTAGCGATAGGCCTTTTCGACCAGAATGAATCTGAGAGCGTCTTATTATCGTCGCCCCATTTATACGTAGTACCACAATGTTCCGTGCTCTTCAATGTCAAGGTCAGTCGGTCATATGATGAAGGTTAAAGTTCATTCTCTATTTGACACTAGCGTGTGTGTGTGTGTGTGTGCGTGCGTGCGTGCGTGCGCGTGTGTGTGTGATGCGATATGATAATAATAATCATTGTTGTAGGTGTTTTGGATGTGGTGTATAAATGCTCTCTACGTCTCCATGATAGTCTTCTGGGTTCCATGCTTGTCTATGAAACATGGTTAGTTGATGATTGATTGATTAATTGATTGGCTGGTTGGTTGGTTGATTGGTTGAGTGATTGATTGGCTGGTTGGTTGGTTGATTGATTGAGTGATTGATTGAGA